CCATCAGATTTAAATACAACTCCCACTTATAAACAAAGGCTCTTATAGTAAGTCTCAGAGTTGCAAATATCCAACTAACATATAACTCAAATTTACAAGTGGAGGCTATTACAGATAATAGGTAAAAGTACTTGTTCCAACTTACATATAAATTCAACTTAAGAACAGGCCTATAGAACCTATGTTGTTCGTAATCTGGGGACTGCCTGTACTCGTGTAAAAATGTCCCAGGAAAGGGAATGGATACAATACCCAGATACGGTGTATGCACCAAAGACAAAGTGGATGAAATACTAAGGGATAGGGATCTTTATTCTTTCTTTCTTGAATATCTTTGCCCTAAATATTTATAAGAGAAATCAACTGCAAAATAAGATTCATTTCATAGAAATTTACCACAGTGTCTTTCCTTTATAAATTGTGTGCTTGGTTTCCTGGCTATAGAGAAAGGTGATCTAGGTTGGAGTAAAGAATGTGGAAATCAATTTTTGTGTGAGTTCCTTGAACTCTGCCTTGATATTTTAGTTTTTCATCTAATCCTCATTCTGAGAAGCTGCTTCAGTATATAATACTTCCAGGCTCTGTGTACCGTGGATGTATCATGTATTCTTGGTCTCACTTTCCTCATTTGTAAAATGTGGTTGTTGTGAGCATTAAATGACTTCGTATGTATAAACCATGTACAACAGTGTGAGTGTATCAAAGAACCATAAATGTTAGAATATTATTACTGTGGCTTTCATACTTCTCAAAGGGTTATCTAAGAAAATTACTTAGCCAGTGTCACAGTGAAGAAAATTTATATAGGGTCTGAGCTCAAAGCCCGCAGGCTCTAGCACCTGTGTTCTTAATGCTGCACCATATGGCATGAGAGCCACATTTGCTCTGGATTGCTTCAGCAGCCTTAAGTGGTCCCATGCCTGTGGAGACTTGGTTATCCTCTATGGGCTGTATTCAATAGTGGATGAAGTCCCCTTCCAGTTTTATTACTGGGGGAGGAGGGTCTTTAGATTTTAGAAAAACCCCATTGGCTCTCAATCACCCTTTCCCTGCCCTGTTGAGGTTCAGCAAAATTTGAACCCAATACTGGCCTTCCACTCTAAGCTCTAGAACAGTGATTCTTTTTGTGAGATAGTCTCACTTTGTCACCCCACAGAGTACCATGTTGTCATAGCTCATAGCAGCCTCAAACTCCTGGGCACAAGCAATCCTTCCCAACACCCAGCCAGTTTTAGAGACAGGGTCTTGCTCAGGCTGGTCTCAAACTCCTGAGCTCAAGCAATCCACCCGCCTTCGCCTCCCAGAGTGCTAGGATTACAGGTGTGAGCCATGGCACCCAGTCTAGCCTAAAACAGGGACCACAAGAGGATCTTAGGTGTACTAGTAATTTTTTT